CGTCCCCTTGGCACGGTCCGCGGTGCGTGCCCATGGCACGTCCCCTGGCACGTCGCCTGGCGCGTCCCTTGGGATGTTCCGCGGCGCGTCCTGCTGGCATGTCCCCTCTGTCGATTAGTTCTGGGGCAGCTACTATGTGCTGAGGCAGCTCGAGCTTAAGATCCAGATCAGTTCGGTCAGGACTCGGATGCAAAGAAGGACTCGATACACAACGCTATCTAGAGCACAATCGCGGCATAGCACATCGTAATTCAGCACGGCCCAGCACAACACAGCCGTCGGCACGGTACATCAAGATCGATACACTCAACATAGCATCTTGGCACGTTCTTTGGCGCGTTCCGTGGCGAGTCCACCTGGCACGTCGCGCGGCGCGTCCCCGAGCACAATCGTGGCATGGCACATCGCAGTTCAGCACGGCCCAGCACAGCACAGCCCTCGGCACAGTACATCAAGATCGATACATTCAGCATTGCATGTGCCCGTCGCCCAATCAGGTGTATTTGAAACGTTGCCATGCTTTATATTTCTATATTCCTTTCCGGGTTTGTGGGTCGATCATGTTTTTTCCCGGAAAGGGCGCAGGCCCAGGGTTCTCTTTTAGTATGTAAACATGTCCCCGGTGCCCAATTTGAAGGAGGCCGGCGGATTCTTTCCCTGATAAATATCGAGGTCGAAGGAGGCCGGCGGATTCAAATTTGAGGATGTCTCAGGCGAAACGCTTGTTTTTGAAATCCCGATCGATAAATCACAGGGTGCGGGACACCTCAGCACGACCACACCCCAGCAGACCAACCCCAGCGCGGACCACGCCCAGCACGGACCACAGCCAGCACTCGACCACACCCCAGCACGACCACGCCCAGCACGACCACGCCCCAGCACGACCACACCCCAGCACGACCACACCCCAGCACCAGCACGACCACACCCCAGCACGACCCGATCGATAAATCACAGGGTGCGGACCACCCCAGCACGACCCCACCCCAGCACGACCCCACCCCAGCACGACCCCACCCCAGCACGACCCCACCCTAGCACGACCACACCCCAGCACGACCACACCCCAGCACGACCACACCCCAGCACGACCCCACCCCAGCACGACCCCACCCTAGCACGACCACACCCCAGCACGACCACACCCCAGCACGACCACACCCCAGCACGACCCCACCCCAGCACGACCACGCCCCAGCACGACCACGCCCCAGCACGACCACGCCCCAGCACGACCACCCCCCAGCACGACCACACCCCCAGCACGACCACCCCCCAGCACGACCACGCCCCAGCACGACCACACCCCAGCACGACCACTCCCCAGCACGACCACGCCCCAGCACGACCACGCTCCAGCACGACCACGCCCCAGCACAACCACCCCCCAGCACGACCACCCCCCCAGCACGACCACACCCCAGCACGACCACCCCCAGCACGACCACACCCCAGCACGACCACTCCCCAGCACGACCACACCGCCTTGGTGGAGTGGTTGCCTGTCGTCGTGGAATGTTTCGTGGGGTGTCTCGTGGAATGTTTCGCGGGGTGTCTCCTGGAATGTTTCGTGAGGTGTCTCGCGGAATGTTTCGTGAGGTGTCTCGTGGGATGTTTCGTGAGGTGTCTCGTGGGATGTTTCGTGAAGTGTCTCGTGGGATGTTTCGTGAGGTGTTGCCCAGTTGGGTATCGTGAAAACGTGTCCATGCTCCACATGTCTATATCCCTTTCCGGGTTCGTGGGTCCATCATGTTCCCGGAAAGGGCGCATGCCCAGGGTTCTCTTTTAGTACGTAAACTTGTCCCCGGTGCCTCAACTGAGGGGCGCAGGCGGATTTTTTCTTTCATAAATATCGAGGTCGAAGGGCGCCAGCGGATTAAAATTTGAGGATGTCTCGAGCGAAACGCTTGTTTGTCAGAATTTGTTGAGGATTTCTCGAGCGAAACGCTGGTTTTGCAGAGTTGGGGATGTCTCGAGCGAAATGCTTGTTTTCAGAATTTGTTGAGGATGTCTCGAGCGAAACGCTGGTTTTGCAGAGCCGACCGCGACGCGGAAAAGCGCCCCGCGCGCAGGAATTCCGAGGGTGTCTCGCGCGTGCCGCGTCCCGCGCGCAGGAATTTCGATGATGTCTCGACTAATTCGTTTGTTTTTCTAGGATTGCTTTGAATTTTTGCAGGATGTCTCGAGCGAAATGCACGACCCCACACTGGCACGACCACACCCCAGCACGACCACACCCCAGCACGACCACATCCCAGCACGACCCCACCCCAGCACGACCCCACACCAGCACGACCACACCCCAGCACGACCACACCCCAGCACGACCCCACCCCAGCACGACCCCACCCCAGCAAGACCACACCCCAGCACGACCACACCCCAGCACGACCTCACCACAGCACGACCACACCCCCAGCACGACCACGCCCCAGCACGACCACGCCCCAGCACGACCACCCCCAGCACGACCACCCCCCAGCACGACCACCCCCCAGCACGACCACCCCCAGCACGACCACACCCCAGCACGACCACTCCCCAGCACGACCACACCCCAGCACGACCACACCTCAGCACGACCACACCCCAGCACGACCACGTGGAATGTTTCGTGGCGTGTCTGGTTGAGTGGTTGCCTGTTCGTGGAAGGTGTCTCGTGGAATGTTTCGTGAGGTGTCTCCTGGGATGTTTCGTGAGGTGTCTCGTGGGATGTTTCGTGAGGTGTCGCCCAGTTGGGTATCGTGAAAACGTGACCATGCTGCACATGTCTATATCCCTTTCCGGGTTCGTGGGTCCATCATGTTGGTTGGTCTCCGTGTTCATTCCTTTCTTCTTCGTCCTCCTCCTCCCCTTCCTCCTCCTCCTCCTCCTCCTCAGGCATTCCTCCTCCTCCTCCTCCTCCCTCCTCCTCCTCCTCCTCCTCCTCCTCCTCCTCCTCCTCCTCCTCCTCAGGGGCCCAGGTGTTCGGGCCGTTCCTCAGATGCATGTCGTGGAATGTGCTGGCGGCCCAGGCCCGCCGTGGTCTCAAACGCCATTGTCGCTCATCGGTGTGAGTCCCTCATGGTGATCGCTGTTCATTCGTTGTTTTGCCGATCGGCGCCTCCCCCCCCTATGGAATAGATCTTGGCTGTTTTTTGGCGCCTGTTTCGAGCGGGTGGAGTCTCCCCCAGAGGCAGCACTCTTGCAAACAGTCGCACTAAGCAGAGGTCTGGAGCCAGACCCCCCCCTCCTCCCAATGACGAAACACCAAAAAAAACGCTCACACGGTTGCACGATAACGGTAAATCCAAGAGGGTCCAAGAGGGACACGAAGGGTGTGCACGTTTCTTTCCCCCTCACTTATCGTTCCCCCATTAAGCATCGTCCAAGTGGAGGGTTTCTCCGAAGGGCTTAGGCGACCTGTCCTCCTCCTCCTCCTCCTCCTCCTCCTCCTCCTCCTCCTCCTCCTCCTGTCCCTTCTCCTCCTCCATTCCTTTTCCTTATATGAACAACTTCTCCCTGTCGCACCCCGAGGCCAGTTTTTCCCGGAAAGGGCTTAGGCCCAGGGTGCTCCTTTAGTGTGTTTACCCCCGGTTGTGACGGCTATAGGGTCGGCGAAATTAGTTTGCGATAAATAACGTGGTCGCGTAGGGTTGGCGAATTAGAAATTTGAGGATGTCCCTAGCGAAACGCGTGTGTTTCAGAATTTGTTCAGGATGTCTCGAGCGAAACGCTTGTTTTGTATGATAGTTTGTCCTCTCCTGGGGACCTGAATTCTGAGGATCTCTTAAGTGACATGCTTGTTTTCACGTGCCCAGGTCTTGAGGATGTCTCGAGCGAGACGCTTGGTTTCACGCCTCCAGGTTGCCCAGACAGATGTCTAGCATGAGGAGTTGTTGAGGATGCCTCGAACCAGAGGCTTGTTTTCACGTGTCCAGGTCGCCCAGGCGGATGTCTAGCATGAGGATGTGTCGAGGAAGTCTCGATCGAGACGCTTGTTTGCATGTGTCCACTGGACACAGTGTCCAGGTTGCCCAGGCGGATGTCTAGCATGGGGATGTGCTGAGAACGTCTTGAGCGAAACGCGTGTTTTCATGTGTCCAGGTCGCCGCACATCACAGCCCTCGGCACGGTACATCAATATCGATACCCTTAGAATTGCAGCTTGGCATGTTGCTTGGCACGTTCCGCGGAGCGTCCCGTGGCGAGTCCGCCTGGCACGTCGCGCGGTGCACGTCCATTGGCACGTTCCGTAGCGCGTCCCCTTGGCACGTCGCGCGGTGCGTGCCCATGGCACGTCCCTTGGCACGTCGCCTGGCGCGTCCTTTGGGACGTTCCGCGGCGCGTCCTCCTGGCATGCCCCCTTGTCAATTAGCTCTGGGGCAGCTACTATGTGTTCAGGCAGCTCGAGCTTAAGATCCAGATCAGTTCGGTCAGGACTCGGATGCCAGGGTTGACTCGATCCACAACGCTATATAGAGCACAATGGCGGCATGGCACATCGTAATTCAGCACGGCCCAGCATAGCACAGCCGTCGACACGGTACATCAAGATCGATGCACTCAATTATGCACCTTGGCACGTTTCTTGGCGCGTTCTGTGGCGAGTCCACTTGGCACGTCGCTCGGCGCGTCCCGTGGCACTTCCCGCGGCATGGCCATTGGCACGTTCCGTAGCGCGTCCCCTTGGCACGTTCCGCGGTGCGTGCCCATGGCACGTCCACTGTCACGTCGCCTG